AGTGGCTATACGTAACTACCAGCTCGACGGAGCAACCACTGTGCCTCAGCAGATGTGCTGTGCGACCCATGCGGTGCCAGCCACTCCGCGACAGGCCCAGACGCTTTCACAGCCACGGGCCCCGCTCGGGAGGCCGCCGACCGCCTCAGCGGCGTTAGCTTGTGGTCTAGCACACCGCCTGACGCCAGCGGCCGCGCAACCTAGCACTCCACAACCAGCGACTGCGACACAAAAAAGCAAGACCAATACAAAGATTAGCTTCAACACCATCTGCGAGTGGGTAATCTACTCGGCCGCCGCGCCTTTGGACCAGCATAACGACCATGGCAGCGCGCAGGTACTAGCAACCACGACTGCACCAACCGTCGGACCGAGGACCACCCCCATCGGCCGACAACAGCAGTGCACCAACCACACCACCCAGGCGGCCAGCGAGGCCAGACGGGGCTAGCCCCCATCGACCCGACCGACCCGCTCCTAAGAGACGCGCGCAAAAGGAGGCAAACCAGGCGACCAGCCATGTTGGCCCAAAGGCGCCGCATCAATTTTCTCATGAAGAGCCTAACGAAGAGCCCCATCAAGAGGCCAACCGACGTCAGCAGCAGCAAGGACTGCAGCTGCCGAAGCAGCAAGGGCTGCAACAACCCGAGGAGCAGCACCAAGACTCTCCCCACAGGCCACCACCGGCTGGACCTCGGAGACTCCCCGAGGCCGGCCTCTCTGAATCGCCAGACTCTCCCCACGGAGGGCACTCTAGCACCTCCTATGGCCCACCTGAGGCCAATCCAGCCTACGCTACGGGACCAAATGCTACGCCACTGCAGATGCCTTGGATGCGCAGCCAAGCGGCGCAGACGCCCAGAGGAACCGACGCAGCACGAACCATCCCAAAGATAGCCAACTGCATAGATCCACGAGAGATCTACGACATCGAAGCCACATACCTCGACGCCAGGCATGCCGACAGGGGGCGCGCCATGCAACCCTTCCGCTCTCGTACCACTGCTATCCCCCTTCCCCCAACATCGACGCGACTGCTCGACGCCCAAGCACCCGCACACGCCACTGACCAGCACCTACATCGAGCAAGAGGGAAGGCCACACAACCATTCAGAGCCACCAACATCAAGCCCCCAGCACCACCACACCAGCCAACGACATCACCCAACATGCCACCCCCTACGCTAGAGCAGCGCAGTGTACAATTCGACGGGCGTCCGACCATCCGACAAACGATCCAGCGATCACCTTCTCCCCACATCACCTTGGTCCTTCGCGACGAGCCCCTCAACGAGACAGCTGACTACATGCTTCGCCACCACCCACAACGACCACTTCTAGAATGTGCAAGGATCCATCTCTACACGAACGGCTCCAAAAACCCAAGGAAGCCGAGCGACGACGCCTGGTCCGTGGTGATCGTAGGCGACGACAGCTTCGGGTTCAGCTTCCAGGGGGCCATCATAGGGAAGCACAAGAGCGGCACCGACATCGCCCTCAAGGACAACGTCGAGCACGAGACCACCTCCACGACAGTCGAGATCACAGCCCTGATATGGGCCTTCGCCTGGGTGATACACCACAACCCCCTCTACATCGCCACGATTTCCACGGACTCGCTCGGCGCGCTGCAGCTCGCGAAGAGGCTAGCCTTCACCGGCCGCGACCCCAAGCTCGCCAGGACACTCTGCATCCTCTACGACATGGTCCGCAACAAGATCGACCTACAGCACGTCCACGCTCGCGACTATAACCCATGGAACGAGGTTGCCGACGCCGCCGCCAACCACGGACGCCTGCAAGAAGTCACTCCTCCTTTACCAGAGTGGGCAAGCGTCATGGACGGCGCATCCCAGCGGGACTGGGAGTTCCTCATTGATGCGGAACCCAACGCCAAGGAGGCCTACGCTGTCTTCGCCCTCGGCAATCTCACAGCTAAGAGAGTCGAGACGACCGCCGAGGCCCGTCATTTCCACAACCCCTTCGAGTCCAGCGACAAGAAGATCATCGTAGAAATAAACATCGCCACCTTCAACATCCAGTCGGGGAGAGAGCCAAAGGAAGGATCGAAGCGTCGCAAAGAGAAGATCAACAAGCTGAAGACCACGATGGCCTGCCTTTACGACGAGGACCTCCACATCACAGGTATCCAGGAGGCAAGGACTCCCTGGGGCGTCCGCGACGCAGGTCAAGACGATGACGCCAGGTGCGCCAACGCCAACTGCTACCACATCATTTCCAGCGGCCACAAAGGTTTCAACTACGGCTGCGAGCTTCATGTCCTCCTCAGCAAACCCTACGGCAAGAACGGCAAAAAAGGAGCTCTTCTTCAAACCTGACCAGTTCACAGTCATTGTCAAGGGCCCCAGGCTCCTCATCGCGCGCGTTGCCGCCCCAGGCTTCAACCGCGCGCTTGCCGTCGCTCGCGTCCCGCACTCGAAGGCCCTTGCGACCGAGAAGGATAGCTATTGGAAGAGGCTCGCGGGTAACACGGAAAAGCACCACGTCAGCATCATTCTCTTCGGTGCCAACGCCAGGACAGGAAGCATCACCAGCACGGCCATCGGCGATAAGGGCTTCAAACAAAACGAGGACCCAAACGGACACCGTCTACATGAGCTGCTCCTGACAAACCACCTGGCGGCCGCCAACACCTTCGTCAGTCATGGACCAGAGCATCACACCTGGCACTCGGGCAAGGACCCTCACCGCATCGACTACGTCAGCATCCCGAAGGGCTACATAGACTCCATCGAGGAGTGCGCCGTGTTCTACGGCATAGACAGCGGCCAAGACCCAGAGACCAAGGACGACCACTACCCCGTCAAGGTGCAGCTTGCCTACCAGATTGTCTCGTCCGTCACCAAAGGTATCCCTAAGTTAGACGAGCAAGCTAGCCGACGAAGGGTGCCGCAAAAAAGTTCCGCCAGACACTTGACGAGGTCAAACGCCCGCCCTGGGGCGCCAACCTCAACGAGCACCTCGCCATAGTCACAGAGAAGATCACGGAGACCGCTTACGAGTGCTTCCGCTCCAACAGCCGCACCCCACACAAGCCCTACCTTACCAGACGATAGTTTGCTCTTCTGCGAGTTCGCCGATCGGTACTCAAGACGACGCGGATCGCCAGAAATGACGTGATCGACAGCCATGTCGGCGACAAGAGGCTACGCTACACGGCAAAGATCATCGCGAGGGAAGCCCTCTTGCCAGACCCCTCAGATGCGGGTGCCCTGGCTTCTCTCAGCGACTACGTCGAACTCGTGGTGGCCTCCATCATATTCCGCACTCCCAGCCTAGCTTCCCACGCCGTGGAACCCGACAACGCCAGCACTGCGTGCAGCGCCCAGCAGTATTTCGACGCCCTTCTCCTATTCCTCAGGACGTCTAAGTCGACACTACAGAAGTGGATCACGACAGACCGCGACGACTTCCTCGAGAGAACCGCCGATGAGATGGGTGCAGCGATCGACGGCCACGCCCCCGGTCTAGAGGCCCTGTACGCCAAGCGACTACTGGCCTTTGGAGGACGAAAGTCAAAGAGGCCGCCGACGCCCATCATCCTCACCAACGACGACGGGGAGCCCACCACCAACAATAGCGAGATCGCCGACCACGCCCTCGCCTTCTATGGCAAAGTTGAGCAAGCTATTGCCACGAATGCAGATGGGGTAGCAGCCGACTACAACAAGAGGACCCGCCATGCAGGACCAGAACCAACAATCCAAACCATAATACCCAAGCACCAGCTGACCAGCCAGCTCGCTGCCGCCAAGCGAGGCCGCCGAGGAGGTCCTGACCAGCTCACCGACGACATGTCCAGAGCCAGCCCTGCAGGGATGGCTCGCCCGCTCCACCCCGTCCTAGTCAACGCCCACTTCGAGAGCACCGAGCCCATCGCTGCCAAGGGAGGGTACTCTACCTATTTCCACAAAGGACAGGGCGCCATGGAGCTCCAGAAATCATACCGCGGCATCCTCCTCAACAACACCATCGGCAAGATGCACAGCACCTTCCTCCGATCCCGCGTTAAGGGCCTGCTACCTGAGCTACTTGAAGCAACCCAATGCGGCGCCCGACCCAAGATGGCCACGGACTTCATTACTCACACCAGCCTCGCCTTCATCTGCGACTGCCAGAGGAGATCAAGATCATGCAGCATCACCTTCCTGGACCTCAGGGAGGCCTTCCACTCCGTCATCAGGGAATTCTGCATGCAATTGCCGACCACCGCAGGCGAGCTCAACGAGCTCATCGAACGGATCGACATTCCCGACTTCATCAGACCAGCTCTAAAGGAACGTCTCCAGCAACCCGCATACAACAACCAGCACATCGACGACGAGCACCTCTGCCATATGATCGCAGATCACCACGCCTCCAACTGTATGACAGCCAAAAGCGCTAGGCATTACCAGCTGCCTCGGACCAGCACACGACCTGGAGTGCCATACTCGGATGTCGCCTTCAACATACATTTCGCCATCATGCTGAGGGCAATTGACCAGGCAGTTCGAGAGGAAGAGGCCCACGGCCAGCAGACAGGTGGACATGAAATAGAGGCCTGCAGTGAGCCTCTATTTTCACCAGCCCCTCACGAAGGCAGCGCGCTCAGAAACATGTCCTTCGTCGACGACCTCACCGACTACAACTCGCCCGCCAGCGCCAACGACCGGATCAACACGACAGCCCTTGCAGCAGCCAGGCTCTGCACAGCAGCTTGCCGGCACGGACTGACGCCACACCCTGAAAAGACCAAGGCCATCCTCATGCACTATGGCGCGGGGGCCAAGAAGGAGAAACAGCGGATAGCCAAGGAGGGAATCACATACCTAGAGCTGGACGGACGGACTCGCGATCAATGTAATGTGCAGCTGGTTACGCAGCAGAAGGCCCTCGGGGCCGTCATCTCGGCGGGCGGGGTCATGGGGCCAGAGATCTGCCCAAGGGTCAATCGTACAATTGGCGCAGCTCGGCCTCTAGAGAAGCAGATCCTCCGCCGCGAGAAGCTCTCGAAGAAAGCCAAGGTCAAGTACGTACACTCTTTTTCGACATCCTCGCTTACCTACAACCCCCACGTCTGGATCGACTTGGCCCAGAAGGACATGAATCACATTTCCGCCAAATACATGGGCCCATACCGCGCAGCCGCTTCACCACCCAAGACCAACTCACCCGACCAGCACATCTCCGAGGACGAGGCGATCGCCAAGACAGGTGTACCCGACTTCACCACTCACCAGTCGATTGCGAGGCTACGATGTTTGCCCAGACTCTTGGGTAACGCTCCAGCAGTCCTACTTCATCTACTCGACGGCCAGCGCCAACGAAAAGGCACATGGAGCCGCCAGATCAAGAAAGACTTCGACTTCCTACGCAAGTACTTACCAAAAGAAAGGTGGCCCAGCCAAACCCAGCACGACCGTGGCATCATCAACTGGGCCCGACAGAAGCCGAAGCTATTCACCAACGCGGTCAAGGCGGCTTTGAAGGCACACCTTCTCCACACCCGCGACCAAGCTCAAGGCGCCAATCTCCAGAAGGATATCTTGATGACCACGGCAGATAACACAACCGAAATGATGGACCTCAGCGACGACGCGAACAACCAGAGGTATGTCTGCTACGTCTGCGGCCGAGTTGCCTCCAGGCAAGGCATGCTAATCCATATGGGCAGGGACCACCCAGACCGTGAAGACCCGCGCTTCTGGGCGACGGGGACAGCGTGCCGATGTTGCCAGGCCGAGCACCACTCTCTTCCCAGGCTCATCAAGCACTTATCGGTGGCTCACCGTTGCCGCAAATCCTGGCATGCATGGTGCACTCAGACGATGGAGCCTCTGACGGAGCAGCAAATAGCAGACAACATCGCCGCCGTCGCCGAGGCCGCGCATTCCAACAAAAAGCAAGGACGACATCCAACATTCAGCGACACGCCAGCCTACCCGTGCGACATCACGCCGCTGCCTCTCCTTGAGACGTCGCCCGTCCTACCCACATTTGCCACACTCGTGTCATCACCAAGCAGGCCACCCTCTTGCTCGCCCGCAGAACCAGCCGAGCACCAAGAAATCGCATTCATCACGGACCGCCCTCGACTGGCCGCCGACCTCCAACATATCATGGCCAGCTACGGGATCACTAGCATCAGCGGACTGGACTACGCGCAGATCGACATCCCCAGCGACGGCCGTATCTCAGAACTACCCACAGTACTTCGGCGAGCACAACGCAGGATCCTACATGGCGAGGTTGCTGCCATCTACGTAGAGTTCCCACGACGTACCTGGTACTTACACGATCGCACCGACGTTCTAGGCAGCAGAGCAAGCAAGCGGCGAACCCCAGAGGCACCATGGGGCATACCTCAAGTCTCCGAAACCATCGCTGATGAGCTATTCGCCGCCAACAACGTCACGCGAGAGGTCTTGCGTATGATATTCACGGCGACCGCTACCAGAGTACCACTCGTAGCAGCCATCTCTGCTGAGTCGATCATCAGACAGTCCCCAGAATATCGGCACATCGCCAACCTGACGACCGTCTACGAGACCCTTACGCACCACTACGACCTCGGTACCATGCAGATCCTCGACGGCGGCACCCGCGACGACCTCCGCAACATAATGCACATGGCAAACGAAGAAGAGATCGACTTCACCTTCTCCGGCCTGCTCGACGGCAACATGGTGGCAAGATGGGGCCTCAGAACAGCAACCGCTGCTCCTACCAGCCAGAACACGAACACCATCGACGCCTACTACATCGAACGAGAGGACGAAGTGCCGCCTCATGCCGAAAATGAACGCCATGAAGAAGGTCACCGACGACAGGTTCAACGGCGTCAGGACGCAAGTCCTGAGGAAGCCCCGAGTGCGTGGGAACACCTCAGGCAGCGTCGCCAAGTTTTGCAAGAGGCGTTAGGACGCACGTCCTGGGGAAGCCCCGAACGCGAGGGAACACCCCAGGCACAAGTCGCCACGTTTTGTAGTATTTCAGAAGGCAGCGCCAGCTCGTGCAATAGGTCAGCGGGTACTTGCGAGCCGCATCATGCACCCACTCCACTCTCGCCAAGCACCTCCGACCTGACACACCTCACGACCCCAGGTACGACCTCCCACACCACGCCACAAGTCAACGCCGCCATGGTGAGGCAAGGATCACACTTCGAGACGGGCTCGAAGGGTGGGGGGGCAGGGCGAGTGCTGCCCGCGCCTACCAGGGGGGATGGTGGGGGGCAGGGGGGGGGGGGGGGGGGGGGGGGTAGGACGGCCACTGCCCGCGCCCCCGCGGTCCGCCCTAGCTCGCCACCCCCACCATCCCCATGGCGAAGGAGGAGCTCACCGATCGCCGACACGGCGAAGCTGATGGCAGCAGAGACATTCCTCACCGACGACAACAGCAAGCACCAGGCCTGGGGTTCGCCCCCACCGAGGGCACCGTGACCCCTAGCCATAGCGGGACGAGGTGGGGCCGCCACGAACCCCACTTGAAGTCGGTGCATGGAGGCCTCTTATGTGCGCCCATAACCCACACCACAACCCCAGCAACAATACGCTCTCCCCACGACCTGACCATAGACATTCAAGACGACCATCTACAACCTATGGGACTCGCCACCGACCGATCACCCACCCCGCAACCACCACCATCCAACCACCATCACCATCTCGATTCTACCAGCCCGCTGAAAGGAGGACAGGAGCAGGGTCCTCAGCAGTGCGGCACGACTCAACCATGACAGTGCCTGCTGAAAGGAGGACAGGAGCAGGGTCCTCAACAGCAAGGCTTGATCAGTACGCCACGGAGACACTGAAAGGAGGACAGGAGCAGGGTCCCCAGAACCAATCTCCAGATGGCACGCCCGCAGAAAGGAGGACAGGAGCAGGGTCCTCAGCTGCGAGGTACTACAAAGACAACCAACCCCAGAACCTCTACACCATCAACAACATCACCACCTCGACCAGACCAGCCCGCTGAAAGGAGGACAGGAGCAGGGTCCTCAGCAGCGTGGCGTGATGAGCCCACCACATCTGAAGCTGTGCTCAGCACGCCGACATCTAGAGGAGCTCAAGCAAAGTGAAGGAGGCGGCGCACCGTGCGCCGCGGCGAGGCCTTCCCCAGCCTTCGGGCCGAAGGGGGGAACGGCCCGCCCCCCGTGTAACATACGGGGGCCGCCAGCTCAGCCGAGCTCGAGGGCGGCTAGAGAAGGTCGGACGCCCCTCAGCTCGCGAGCAAAGGAGGGGCGTCCGTCGCAAAGAAGTTCGTGGAGGACCAGTTCGACGCCCACATGAAGGCGCTGGACTGAAGGGCTGCGCCGCGGCGTCCGCCGCCGCCCTCACTGAAAGGGTCACTGAAAGGACGAAGCGGGAGGGGAGGAGGAGGAGGAGGAGGAGGAGGAGGAGGAGGAGGAGGAGGAGGAGGAGGAGGAGTATCCCCTCCCCCTCCTACTGACGCTGGTGGTGGTGCTGGTGGAACACAAGCCAATCAAGAAGGGACCCAGGAAGCCGACATCGAGAAGCAGCGCCCAGACTGAAAACAGCTCAAGCTCCAATCGTCAGACATCTGGGCTTGTCCAGGCCTCCCACGTGGGATCCGAGCAGATGGGAGGATGGCGCCGCGTCGCTGGTGCATCAGCGATGCAGCTCGATGTGGGGCCCGACTTTATCCACGCCGAAGTCGCCGGTGTATCGCCGACGTGTATCGCGCATCGACGATGCGGCCTGATCCTCCGACACCCGTCTGCTCGGACCCCATCTCCGGGAGGTCTCCTCAACATCCTCCTCCTCCCCCTTCCCCCTCCTGCTCCTCCTGCTCCTCCTCCTCCTCCTCCTCCTCGTCCTCCTCCTCCTCTTCCTCCTGCTCCTCCTCCTCCTCCTCCTCCTCCTCCTCCTCCTCCTTCTCCTCCTCCTCATCATCCTCCTCCTCCTCCTCCTTTTCCTCCCCCCCCCAGCTCGTTGCTCGTGGCCCCCCTCCGCTTCCTGCGCCGCGCCGAGGCCCACGGCGGCGCGCGAGCGCGGGCTCTGCCCGGACGACGCCTACGGCCCTGGGCGGGGGACCGCCGCCCTGCTGCCCCTCATAGGGGCGCCCTCGGCCGCGGGGTGGCCGAGAGGCAGCGCCGCACGTGGCGGTCGTCGGTGTTGGCGTCGTCGTGCGCGTTCCCAAATCTCCAAGATCTGATTTAGTTCAATTGCGGCGTGCATTCCTCGATCTCGGCCTTCGGGGGGGGGTCGTTTCCATACCCTGGGGCCACATACAACGGGCCCGGGACGAACAACCCCCCTGGGGAATCGGTCGGGACCTCGGTCCGCAGACTGAGAATTCAGATCGGCGGATGTTAGGGTTGGCGTTGTCGTCGCTGTTGTGGGCAAGTGAGAGCGAATTATCGTGGAATGAGCGTCTTCGTTCTTGATCGTCGTCCCGTGGCCCCTGTCTCCGTCGTCTTCGTGGTCGTTTTGATTGTGGTAGTCGTCGTCAAAGGTGGTGGTCGCCGTCGTCGGAGGAGGTGGCGGGGGAGGTGGTCGTAAAGTGGGGGTGAGGAGGAGGAGGAGGAGGAGGAGGAGGAGGAGGATGGAGGAGGAGGAGGAGGAGGAGGAGCAGGAGGAGCAGGAGGGAGCAGGAGGAGCAGGAGGAGAGGAGGAGGACGAGGAGGAGGAGGGAGGAGGAGGAGGAGGAGGAGGAGGAGGAGGAGGAGGAGTAGGAGGGGGGGGAGGAGGCGGCGGAGGCGGCGGAGGAGGCGGAGGAGGAGGAGAAGGAGGAGGAGGAGGAGGAGGAGCAGGAGGAAGCGGAGGAGGAGTTAGGCGGCGGAGGCGGAGGAGGAGGCGGAGGAGGAGGAGGAGGCAGAGGAGGAGGAGGAGATGAGGAGGAGGAGGAGGAGGAGGAGGCAGTGGAGGAGGAGGAGTAGGAGGAGGCAGCGGAGGCGGCGGAGGAGGAGTTGAAGGGAACGGGTAGCAGGAGACGGGGCAGTTTTGGGGAGTGGAGGAGGAGGAGGAGGAGGAGGAGGAGGAGGAGGAGGAGGAGGAGGAGGAGGAGGAGGAGGAGGAGGAGGTGAGGGTGTACTTGTGGTTTCATGTGGACATCCGTGGTTGTCATTTGTTTGTTTCAGGGTTTCTAGATGCTTGTAGCAAGTAATCGTAGGCGGCTTGTGGGAGAAAGCAGCTGCTCCAAGTGAGGGGTGGGAGGGGGAGGGCCGTTGAGATCTCGGCCCTATCCCCGGGCTCTGCAGGACTGCATATCGCGTGAAAGCACAAACATGGATCGAGGCGCAAAATCGGCGCGCTCCGTCGCCAAATCAGGTGGCGTTGGCCCTTCGTTTTTGGGGCCTGAGCCGTGGATCTGGCGCCCACGCGCCAGATCCACGGATTCTTGATCCATGTTGGCGTGCGCCCGAATTTAGGCGCCCCAGCACCACTGCAAACGCCCTTCTGAGCCAGTCTGCGGATGAGGGCGTGCGTCCGCTTAGAGATGCTGGAGAGGTCTAGGCACCTTAGATTGGGGTCCGAGTAGATGGAGAAAGAGGATTGCGCCGTATCGCGGATGCATCAGCGATACGGCTCGATGTGGAGCCCGATTCTCCACGTTGGCGTCGCCGATATGTCGCCGACTTAGGCGATGCAAGGCCGATGCATCGCCGACACCTGCGATGCATGGTCGATGTGGCGCGATTCTCCGGCACCACCTGTTTGGACCCCATGTGGGAGGCTTCTGGAGATGCTGGAGGCAGTAACCAGTCTTGAGTCGGGCCTGTCCCGCTACAGGGGGAATATTCGAGAATAGTCAAAAACTAGTCTGGGGACCATTTTTTGAGTACTTTTTGACCATTTGGGGGTATTGTTTGAGTATATGTTTGATGTTTCGTCGAAAATCCCCCTGTGGGGGGACACGCCCGACTCAACACCAGTCCTCTCCACCAGTGCCTCAGGAGTTGCCGGCAGGTGTTCTCGCACGCGCCCTGCCGCAGTGCCGCACAGGGTTTCCGGCCGCGGGCGCCTCTGCTGGCGTGCGCTCGTCGTCTGCGGGCGGCCCGGCATGGCTCGTGGGGTCTTCTGAGGATCGCTGTCGCGCCCAGGCGGAGACATTCTGCCATCCTCTCGGAGGAAGGAGAAGCTCGCCGAGCGCCTTCCACTACTCGCAAAGTGCCTGCTCGCAGAAGTCCGAAACACACATGTCTGCTCTGATGTAATGTATCGTAGATCTCCCGCGGGGGATCCAGGCCATTTGCGAGGAGTGACTTTGCGAGTAGTGGAACGCGCTCGTTGAGAAGCGACACCACCACCAGGGGCCCGCCTCCAGCGAGGAGGTCCGCGATGTCTCCCCGAGCTGGGGATGGGGGACGTCTCGAGCGACGGGGGGGACCACACCACCAGGGGGACCCCCCTGCCTGTCTCCTCCCACTGGTGGTCCCTGGTGGTGGTGGTGTCGCGTTTCCGCTTTCTTGCGTCAGAGGTTTAGGGCCTTTCGCTTGGCGGCGGGTCCCGCTTCCGAGCAAACTCGGCGCGCTCCGTCGCCACAGCAACGGCACGGGTGCCACGTTTCGAAGAGTTATTCTCCCCGATCGGCGGATCCGGCGCGTAGTTGCCAGATCCACGGATCCTTAGCCTCCAACAACGTATGCCCGATAATGGATGCGAACCTGCATGCTTCCAACCAGAGCTGTTGGGCTGTGTTCGCAAGGTTTGAGACCGTCGGACTTAGGGGTGCTTGCCATCGTCGGCGAGGCCGAGTAGGTCGCGCGAGCGACTCTGAGCTCGTGCTGCACGGCGAGAATGTCTGTTCGTGTCGGCGAGCACGGCGCCTTCATATCGCGTCTGAGAGTCTCGTGCCCCCCTGGCTGATCTCCCACGGGAGGGAACACAGTCAACCACGATAGCAAGGATGGGGCAACTTTCCAAGGCTGCCCTTGCATCCCTGCCCCTTCGGTATTCGGCATCCTTCGACATTATGCTGCACTCCGCGTGGAAAACGCCAACATGGCGATCCAAGGCCCTTGCAGCCTCACCGCGTATCCTTTTACTACCCTGGTCGAGTGTAGTCCAGACGCTGAATGATAAGGACCGCTTTGGGCTCACCGGGGGGCTCGTGCTCCCGGGCCGCTCCCGAGATCCAGGCCCGGGGCCTCTTCGGGGTCTAGGCTCGCCGCGGCCAGAAAGGTAGCCGCTTCGTGTCTGCCCCGGCGCTCCTCGTGGCAGCGCGACGACTGCAGGAAGATTCGACTGCATCTCGGGGAAAGCGCGGGAGAGATCTGGAGGATTCGATCCGTCTCTCGGAGAAGGTTTAGGAGGCGGTCTGCGGGGAGCCGAGAGCACGCGAACGACTCAAGAAGGCAGGGTCGATGGCGCGGAAATGCTCGCACGTGCTGCCCGCTTGAGGTCGAGCGTAGTTGCCTCGTCTCCACGCGGCGTGCCGTGCCGCGTTGCTGGGCCTGCGTCTGCCGCCGCGCAAGACCGCCAGGCTGTCGTGCGCGAGGCCCGTGTTTCTGTGTCTCCCGAGTGGAGCGCGCGGCGGTTCTTCTGGGAGGTTCCTCCGGGAGGGCCCCGGAGGAGTCCAGGCTGGGTAGTCGAAGGCCAGACTGTCAGATTGGATTGGGCCCCAAGGGCCAATCTGGCCCGGCCAAACTGGATGATTTGGGTTATTCGCCAGACTGGATTCGCGTTGGCTCCCTCGCCAGATTGCCCCCGTTTGCCAGATTGGGCCTGCCAGATTGGCGCCAGACTGGCTTCGACTACCCAGCTGGAGGAGTCCGGGGTCCAGGAAGAGTCCGAGGAGTCCTTGGAGCCCAAGAGCGGCCCAACCCGAGGTCGGCGCCGTGAGTAGAAGAGCAACGTTTCGAAACATCACGACCTGAGCTGCAGACTCCGTGTTCTTGGTGGGTTTCTCGAGCTGGATCGATCTGTGCGGGCCCCAGGGCCTCAACGATGACGATGACCGTCATCGTCATTGTCATCGTCATTGTCATCGTCATCGTCATCGTCATCGTCATCGTCCTCGAGGCAGTGACGCTCGTTGCATTTTTTCCGCGACGCCTTTGGGGGAGCAATTTTGGCCTGAGGCGGCCGTTCGGGGCGTTTCTGGTGTTCCCCGCAGGCCCTGGACGAGGCGCCACTGCTGGGAAGCACGCGCCTGGGCCCGGGAACACCCAAGGACCCCTTGTCGAAACTTCCGACCATCTTTGTGTGGAGTGTAGAAGGAGGAGCAGGCGGAGAAGGAGAAGCAGGAGGATCAGGAGGAGCAGGAGGAGCAGGAGAAGCACGAGGAGGAGCAGCAGGTCGATGACGATGCTGCTGATGATGATGATGATGATGGTGATGATGATGATGATGGCGATGGCGATGATGCTGATGCTGATGCTGATGCTGATGCTGACGATGATGACGACGACGATGATGATGATGATGATGATGATGATGATGATGATGATGATGATAATGCGGATGATGATGCTGCTAACGATGATGATGCTGATGATGGCGATGATGCTTATGATGATGCGAATGCTTATGCTGATGCTGATGATGCTGCTGATGATGATAATGATGCTGATCATGATGATGATGACGATTATGAGGATGATGATGGAGATAACTATATTGATGCTGATGGTGCTGATGATGGTGTTGATGCTGCTGCTGGTGATGATGATGCTGCTGATGATGATGATGATGATGATGATGATGATGGTGATGGTGATGATGATGATGACGATGATGATGCGGATGATGCTGATGATGCTGCTGATGATGATGTTGATGCTGGTGATGATGGTGATGGTGATGAGGATGATGATGCTGCTGATGCTGATGATGCTGCTGAACATGAGTAATCCAATAGCCCTTATAACGGCGACGATGGAACACAGTGCCGGGGAACTGATTTGAACATCACCAGTCGTTCAAAGCAGTGCCCCGGCACTGCTTTGAACGATGCGGAAATGCGATCAGCAGGAGCCTTCGTCTGTTCCTTCTCCTCTTCTCGTCGCTGTATGCTCTTCCTTGTCCTCCCTCCTCCCCCGTTCCCTCTCTAATTAATTACCTCGTTCTCCCAGTCTCACGCGCACTCTTCCTCCCCCCTCTCCTCCTCCTCTTCCTGCTTCTCCTCCTCGTCCTCCTCCTCCTCCGCCTCCTCCCCCTCATTTGTTATATTTCTCCGTCCTTGTCCTCCTGTCCCCGTTCTCCTTCTCCCTCTCCTCCTCCTCCTCCTCCTCGTCGTCGTCGTCCTCCTCCTCTTCCTCCTCCTCCTCCTCCTCCTCCTCTTCCTCCTCCTCCTCCTCCTCCTCCTCACCTTCTTCCTCCTCCTCCTCCTCCCCCTTTTCCTCTCCCTCCTCCTCCTCCTTCTCCTCCTCCCCCTTCCCCCTCTTCCTCCTCTGCTATCACTCCTCCATAATTCCTGTCCGCTCCTCCCCTTCACTGATCTTCCTCTTCGTCATCATCATCCCTTTCGTCGCACGCCTCTTAATCCTCAATCGGTTCCCAATCTTCTCGACTTTCTTGTCATCCGCGTCCTTGGCTGTTGGAGGGGCCTCAGGAATTCTCAGGGCTCTTGTGTTGCACGCGAAGGCACACCTCCCAGGAACGCATCATCCTCCTCACATTCACCCTCCTCCTCCTCATCCTCCTCCTCCATGCACGTTCGGCTCAAGCCCGCGCCGACGGTAGGTTTCACGGCGGTTGGGCGGGCTCGCGCCCGCCTCCGCGGCCGGCAGTCGGGGCAGAGATGCGTGCAGGGTGGGATGACAAAGCGGAAGAGGAAACACGGGCCGCAGTTGCGGATTCTTCAAAGAGCAGCGGCGGCGGTTGGGGAACAAGTGGGGGTTGGGGCGGCCGCAGTGGCGGATACGGCGGCGGAGGTGACCGCAGTGGCGGCTGAGGCGGCGGAGATTCTCTTGGCGGATGGAGAGGAAAAGCGCAGGATGGCGGCGACGGAAGTGACCGCAGTCGCGGATGGGAGGGCGGCGGATGGGGCGGCAACGGATGCGAGGGTTGGGGAATGGAGGGCGCCCGCTGGTGGGACGACGAGGGTGGCTGGTGGAATGCATGGGAAGGTGGCCGCTCGAGTGCCTCGGCAGGTTCTCCTGCCGCGGAGCCCGCGGCCGCAACAGCGGCGGGCAAAGGAGGCGGTCCCCTGCTTCCCCCAGGGCGCGAAGAACAAGGCGCAGTTGCGCTGTTTCAAATTGTGCGCAATGAGCCGCTGCCAATTTTCAAGTTGGAATTCTTCGAGAACTTCAGGGCGAACTGGAACGGCAATTATAAGCAGCACAACGCGGCCTTGAAGTGGTTCCGAGACGAGTGCGAAGACCGAGAAAACCCTTTCGGCAGCCGCACGCCCGTCTTCGGAGGTACCGCAGTTGCGGAGGAAATTTCGAAGATCCTTAAGTACCGCGCAAAGGGGAAGGCGCAGGACAACAGGGATTGGGACTGGGACCACACTGTCAAAGTGCCGTGGTCTTGGCTGGAGATGGTCGCGCAGATGGATGGACCTACAATGCTGCGCGTCGTGTGCGGCCCTGACAATGACCGCAGTCGCGGGTTGGTCCGCTGCGAGTGCCGCCCGTGCCCTAGCAGTCTCGACAACATGAGGCACACGAAAGGGGTGGACAGAGGACAGGCGCAAAGAATCCCTCTGCCCCAGTGGGATTTCGTCCTCATCCGCGACGACGGCTCGGGCATTCGCGTCCACCCATCCTGGTCTAGCCCGAAGTTCAACACGTATGAGGTGGAGCCGCACTCGCATCCCGTGCGGGGCCCGAGGGCAGGTCTCGGCAAGAGCGATGGCCACGGAACGTTCACGTTCTGGAAGATGCTGCACGCCCATCCGAATCCTGGGCGGTTCGACGCGAGCAAGGGGGCGCAGCTGCAACCGCGGTGGTCCGCGCAGCCTTGACACCGCAGTTGCGGGATTGCGCAGCCATGGAACCGCAGTTGCGGAAACCGATCGCGTGACGCCGCGCTCGTTTGACTCACTATGCGCGCTTTCGGCCGCAGTTGCGGCGCTGCCTTCTAGCGACTTCATACAGCTTGGCCGCAGTTGCGGCGCTCCCACGACTGACCGCTGTAATTAGGTGCTTCGGGCGCGCATCACCTCCGTTGAAGCACTCGTGACGTTTAGCGCGGCCGCAGTTGCGGAGACAGGTAAAAAGATGGATCCGCAGTTGTTCGTCGTCCTCGTCGCCCCTTCCCCGTCGTCCTCGTCGCAGTCTCCTCCCTCCGCCTTTCCTCCTCGTCGCAGTCGCGTCCTTCATTCCTTCCGTTGGCCGTAGCCCGCCTCCGTTGGCCGAGTCATTTCCCGTCGTCCTCGTCGCAGTCCCCCCCGAGGGCCGCAGTTGCGGACTTTGTTGATTCCTCCTCCTCCGTTTCTTGCCCGTCATCCTCGTCGCAGTCCCCTTGCTCCTTTCACCCTCGTCTGAGCTCTTCGCGCCATCCTCTTCCGTCGCGTCCTCTCCATCCTCCTCTTCGCCTTCCTCGTCCTCATCCCCGCCGTCTCCCTCGTTGCCGTTCCTCTCCCAAGCCGGCCGCAGTTCCCCCGTCGGACGGGGGCCGCGCGCGGCCACGCCATGGACCCAGCTCGCAAAGCCGAGGTCGACAAGCGGTTCGCCGAGCTGAAGCAGCAACTGCGGGAAAGGCTCGGCGTGCAAGGGGCTGCCGCGGATGCCGCAGTCGCGGAGCCGACGGGGGGCCGCAGTAGCGGAAGCCCCGAGCGACCGCCGCGCGAGGCCTCCCCGCAGTCGTCTAGCTCCTCGCGGTCGGCCATCGAATATCGGCCGCCGCCGCCGATAAGCGCTGCGAGTGGGAGCTCTGCTGGTGGGAGGCGCGAAGAGGCGCAGTTGCGCAGGGCGCACTTGACCCCCAAGGCAAAATGGGGGCCTCGGGCGCAGACGCCGACGAAGCAGCAGGACCAACCAGCAGTGACGGGAGCCGCCACCGAGACCGCAGTTGCGGGGGTGGCCGGCGAGCCAGGTGCCGCGCGCGGCTCATCTGGGAGCAGCGCGCCCTCGGCCGCGCTGCTCGCAGCCGAGTCCAAACGAGGCGCCCAACCCGAAGACGAGGCCGCCTCCCAGGAGAAAGCCGCCGAGACAACCGCCTCGGCCGATTCGCGGCCGAGGAAAAGGCCGCCTCCCACGGAAGACTCGCCGCTGTCAGAACCGCAGTCGCGGGGTCGCGCGGGGCCTCCGTCGGAACCGCAGTTGCGGGAAGATGCGGGAGCACCGCGGAAGAAGCAGCGGACCAGGTCCCCTCCAGGGATAAACTACTTTGGGGAACGCCCCAAGTGGAACGAAGGATTCCTTCGTACAGCAGACGGCAATCGGGTTCCGTCCACCATCGCTTTGGTGTTCAACGTGGTGGTCATCACGAAGGTGGCAACAAAGGAAGATGTCTTCAGGTGCATCTTGCACCAAACTGCGGCGGTCGTCTTCGTCGTATGGGACCCCGAGCTGTTCCGCACGGGGAACGTCGAAGGCGCTTGCAGCTACGACGTTCGCGTTGGACTCAGGAGTGCCATCGACAACGCTGTCACTATGAAAAACGCCTCCGAGGAGCCTTACTGGACGACGGTTCCCCTGTTCAGAGAGACGGGCCTGGTGCTCGTGCGCCCGCACATCATCGCAGAGACCGCAGTTGCGGGTCATGTTGTTGGGGCCACCCACGCCGTCACGATCCTGAGCTTTCGCCTGAAGGGCTCCGAGATGAATCCTGCCGCGGTGATCCGTTTTGCCGTCGTGTCCAGACACGCAGTCACCGAACGTCTCCAACACAAGATCACGCAAACAGAACAACAAGCGTGGCATACAGCTTTCTTCAAGGACGCGGTTGCTGCCATCCATAAAAATGATGTGCGGTTCTTGTGCGGCCTGTTTGACATCCCGCCTGAGCAGCTCGCAGCATTGGGCCGCAGTTGCGGAGCCAGCTGCACCTGCCCGGTGGGGGTGGTGTTCAGGGCTGGACCCGCCCTGTTCGGAGGCCTTGTGGAGGGCACACGCGTCATGCATCCGAATTACGTCCTCCCCATTGGCCCGTGCGACGTGCGCATTGCAGCACGGATTTGCAGGGAGGCCGTCGAAGAACGATCCCCAGTGGCTCCCTGATTGGATGCATCGAACAAGCGACTCCATCATCTCTCGGCGCTGGGTTCCAGCGAAGTACATGCCC